GATTCTTCAAAAAAAAATTTTTTTTGTTGGACAAACAATAAGAATGACAAACTTCATCGTAATTTCGCGCAGATCTCATCTCGTTGATTTGTGCTGTTAACGATTTTACTTGCGATACAAGCATATCTTCCATACAATCGCTACGTTGTGATGTTGTATTTTGATGAGCTTTTGTTGATTCGACCGCTTCTAAGCGACATCTGAGAGTTGAAAGCTGAAATTAACACAGCAATAGATTATTGTGAAAACTAAAAATTGTCTGTGAAAATATTAGAGTGTCTCTAATCATTGCAGAGGACTCACTGGTATGGTTATGAAGACGCCTTAAAAATGCACGTAAATAGCAAATGCACTTTCGTTACGTAACTCTCAATCTACAATTCAACTACAATAAACATTTTTCTTACTCCCTAATGCAGCAAAGAACCAAGAATTATAATATTTTACAACGCTAAACATTCGATATGAATTTGATTTGTTGGAATGATACTCGACATTGTTGCATTCTCATCACTTTGGCACTTTCAATAACCAGGATAAAGCATCAAAATTTTCACTTGAATATCCAAACCGGGCGATTATTTCACTCCGAAAATCTTATCAGTAAACTCGTTGATGAGTTGATTTATATGAGTAGATGTCTGGTGCCGAACTGTTATTCTTTTAACAGTGTTTTCATCAATATGAAACAAATCAAAAGAGTTCAGTGCAGTGGTCGTATCGGTGCAAAACAATATTTTAGAAAATAAGTTCTCGAAAGACATCACCTCGTCGGTCTTTTTGCGCAGTTCTTGCGCTTGTTGAGTGCAACTTTTGATGTGTTCTTCGTGATTCTTTTGCGATTCTTCCAATGACGTTCTCAATCTTTCGATATCCTCCAACATTGAATCTTCTCGTTGACGCATCTAAACAGATACTATTGTAGAAGTTGTCAACCATTTCAATTCAGTGAATCCAATGTGTTCAACATTTCACTGCAGCAAATCCAACAAGTTCATTGAATAAATAGCCCTAAATTTGTATCAAAAAAAA